CTGCATCTGCTCCTATCTCTAAGCAACCCAGGCCTTGGATTGAAGGGTGGTGGCCCAAAGACGCCACTTCAGTCACCTGGCTAGTGTTTGTGCTCCGGCTGATGAAGCGAGTTAAAGGGTTAGACAAATGCAACTCATTGAGCAAATAGACCAGAGTGTGCCACACCAGATGTCCAGGGGGAGGCTGGTGTTCCACACCACAGGGAGCATGCTGCACCCCTGGACTGGTCTGGCACCCTCCCTCCAGGATGCCACATGCTGCCCAGGACCCAGGCTGCAGTTGTAGGAATTTGATTTAGGAAGCTCCTAAAGGCACCCCGGAAGACTCCTTTGTCCCCAAAACAAGTCAGTCCTGGCTGTTGGACAGCTAACCTGTCACAGGATTGCCCTTACCTTCTGAGCCCCTACTCTTACAGGAAGAATCACACATGAACCAGGCATAGTGTGCATCACATAATCCCAGCTACTTGGGAGGCTGAGGCAGGAGGATCTCAAGTTCAAGGCTAGCTTTGGCATTTAGCAAGATCATATCACAAAAATAAAATTAGAAAGGGTTGAGGATGTAGATCAGTGGTAGAGTGCTTGCCTAGTATGTGTAAGGCCCAGTGCCCCTCAGAAATCATCCATAAGCACAAACCTCTCAGGCTCTGTGGGGAGGGCGATCAGTCATCTCTTCCCAGACCAAGAGGAAAAGGCATTTTGCCAACTTGGGGGCCCCTCTCCACCAATGGGAGTAATTGGTTGTCTTTATTTAAACTATACCCCATGCCACACAAAACCCCCTGGGACTCAAAAAGTCCCCAAATTAGGATTTCCATGGCAACACATCGCCCCACATTCTCAGGTTGTCAAGGAGTGATTATCTATGGCCCTATCCATGGCAGTTGTAGGAATTTGATTTAGGAAGCTCCTAAAGGCAACCCTGAAGACTCCTTTGTCCCCAAAACAAGAACATGGGTGGGAGACACAAACAGAAAGCTCCATTGTGCCGCTAGCTCGGCATCTCTGGGAGCTGGTCCTGACAGTTCTGCTTTTTAAAGGCCTGGGCTGTGTCAGAATGAGATTCAGCTCTGCTCAGCAGAAGCTCTGGCCAGCCCAGAACACTGCCCAGCACCTCCAGCCTGTCCTCGCTGACCTGCTTCCCTTTCCCCATTAGGGGCTATTCTCAGGGGACCTCAGGTCTCCTGGGAGGCCTTGTAGAATGGAGGAGTGTCCAAGGAGATCCCTCCAGGCAGGGAGAGGAGTGTGAGTGTGAGACTTTCAAAGCGCCTGGAGAGCTGGTCTGTGCAATTAGAAAATGTGGGAGTGAGTAGAGGGTGTCAGCCCCCCTACCCTCAGGCAGGGAATAGTTCTGTAGCAGTTTCTTGGAGCCTCCAGACCAAAGGCTGCCAAACTTTTTCCATATAGGGCCAGACAGTAAATATATCAGGCGTTTCAGGCCATATGGTCTCTGTCACGACTGTCTAACTGCCACTATAGCACGAAAACAGCCCTAGACAATATGTGTACAAATAGGCATGGGGAGGTTCCATTAAAACTTTGCTTATAAAAACAGGCAGTGGCCTCGATTTGGCATGAGGTGGTAGTTTGTTGACCTCTGCTCTAGATCCAAGAATGGGGACCTTAGCTGTCTGCCTCCCTAAAACATAACCCTGGTAACCAAACACATTAAGTGATGGGAGGACAATTTTCTTGCCTGTTTGATACCTACCCCAAGTAGGTGGCCTTTTATCTCCTCCCCATAGGAGGGAGAGCCAGGAGCTGACAGAGATGCTCCTGACACAATCATCTCAGCCTTCACACAGCCCTATGGGAGGATGAAGAGAGCAAGGTACACTCCCCTGGCCCAATGCCCCTAAGCAGCATATACACAATATTTCCTTGCAAACAATTTCAAGGGAGTGCAGAGCCCTCCTGAAACTTATTCATGAACTATGAAGAGAACTAAAAACCCTAAAGTGAGATCCCTTGCTCACTCAAAAAGAGCTAGCTCCTTTGTATTTGAAAGAGCTCTTACAAAGCATAAAAAAAAAAAAAAAAAGGATAAAGAACTCTGCAGAAAAAAATAGACAAATGACACAAAGAAGCAATTCACACAAGACACAAATAACCAAGAGGTGAAAGAATGCTGTCTCCCTCAAAATTAAAGAAATTTTTAAAAAATCATAGTATAGTGTCACTTGCCTATAATCCTAGTGACTTGGGAGGCTGAGGCAGGAAGATCAAGAGTTCAAACCGATGGGAGGGGAGAAGAGGGGAAGGGGGGAATGGAAGGATAGCAGAATAAAATAGACATTATTATTGCTGTGGGTATATACGTGACTGCATGACCAAAGTAATTCTGCAACCTGTACACTCAGAAAAATGAGAAATTATATCCCATCTTATTCAAATGTATGATATGTCAAGATCATTGTACTGTCATGTGTAACTAATTAAAACAAATAAAAGAATGGGAAAAAAAAAAAAAGAGTTCAAACCTACCATCAGCAATTTAGCAAAGCCCTAAGCAACTTAGTGAGACCCTGTCTCTATAAAATATAAAAAAGGGCTGGGGATATGGCTCAGAGGTTAAGCACCCCTGGGTTCAATCCCTAACACAACACAACAAAATAAAATAAAATAAAATAGAATAATAAAAATTAGAACATTTTTGTTTTATAACCATGAGAAATAAGAAAAAAAAATAATATGGGCCTATTAGTTTCTAATAAAAGTTTCTTGGACAATGACTTCAGAGTTCACTTTAAAGGCTTTGTTCAAGAGGACTCATAGTATGGTGCTTTTTATCATCTTTTTTTTGGCCATGCTGATGGACTGAACACAGGACCTTGTGCATGCTAGGCAAGTGCTCTACCACTGAGCTACATTCCCAGTCTCTATTTATATTATGCTTTATTATGACAAACCATCTTTCTGCATTTTGGAACTTAAATTCCTCAAGTCCCAGGACCATCTCTATCCCTGAAGTTCATTCTTCTATCCCTGAAGTTCAGACCTGCCATAACAGAGGCCCAGCATGACTAAAACAATGGGGGTGATGCCAGGTTTTTATTTTTCATCTTGATGAAAGGGCTGGTGGTTTTCACACTATCCAAGAACAAACAGATCCATGACTCCTGTTTCACAATTTACACAACTCAGTGGAATGTGTGTACTTCTGATGGTGCAAACATATTTCTCACAGTTTCGACATTTGTTTTCCTCTGAGGATTTGAGAGAAAGGAAATGTATCTATTTTTCTTTTAAATCTACCTGCTTTAAAAAATAAGAATAAAAAGGCCCAAAATAGTACATAGTAAATCTCCCTGGCACCAGCTGAGGCAAAGCAATCAAGGCCCCATATTTATGTGTGACACATACCCCCACACCCAGAGCATGCCCTGTGCCGGGTTCTTCTCACCTGACACCAACTGCAATGAACTTTTCATGTCTATGAACCTAGGCACAGACAGTTCATCCTCCTCATCAGGACAGAGCTAGCAAAACAAAGTAGAGGAAGGGTGCACAGAGAAGAAATTGGGCCTGGCCTTTGATTCACACAGCCGGAAGGTGGGTCACAGGGATGCCAACACCTTTAAAGATCCTTCCCCAAACCAAAAATCCCCAGCATTCCCTCAAAGCAAAACAAGGGCCCTTCAACAGCGTGATTCTTGACTCATTGGAACAAAGAGAAATGAGAGAAAAGAGCACACTGCAAATGATAAATGGTAGGTATTATACACTAAAAGCTTTTTCATGGGTGAACTGAAGCAGGTGAGATTTCCCTGTAGGACAGAGTCTCTCTGAAGAGTCTATCACCCTTACTTCTTTCCCAGGGGCCAGCTCTGAATAGCACTCTTGCCAACCAAAGAGAGCTCCCTTCTCTCTGGGGAAGACTTTTTCGTTCTTTCTTTTTCTTTTTCAATATATATATTTTCATTGTAGATGGACACATACTTTTCTTTTATTTATTCATATACAGTGCTGACGATCGAACCCAGTGCTTCATGAGTGCTAGGCAAGCACCCTACCACTGAGCTACACTCCCAGCCCTTTTTTGTTCTTCCTGTTTTCTGGGTTTCTTTCACCTGCACCTTTCTTCATCCCCCATCTCAAAAAGAAGCACATTTTGTGGCACCCTGGTGCTCCCAAGAAGGGACTACTCAGCATCCTGTGGAAATGTCTCCCTCCAGTCAGGCTATCTGTGCCCTGGCACTTGGAAAACTAAGAGGAAGGCCCAACAGGTGCTCCTCTGAGTTTTTCATTCAATTCTAGAGAAAGGCAAAGGCTGGGGCTGGGGAAGTCCTAAGGGAGGTTTGTGTTTGGGTTGCACAGTTAGCCAGAGCTCCTGGACACCCTGGAGGTGGTAACCATGGAAAATAGAGGAAAAATGGGTGACATCTCTTTTTCTACTTGATCCTGTCTTTCCTGGGCACATGGCTAGTAAATTGCTTCCTCAGACCAAAGCCAAGGCCAGAAGGTAGGGGAGCCCTGCCCTGCTGTCTTCAGGACCTCCCAGCATGGGAAGCCATGACTACATTTGTTGTCAGGCCACTGCACCCAATGCCTCCACCGCTTGGGATGTCCAGGCATATGTAGACAAATGGATGGCAAAGAGGAAGAAACAAAGCTAGCTCAAATTCATAAGCAGGGCTGGAGATGTGCTCAGTGGTAGAGCACTTGCCAAACATGCAAGAGGCCCTGGGTATAACCACCAACATCCCCCCACCCCCCCCCAAAAAAAAAAAACAGCCCAGCATGGTAATGCATGCCTGTAACCCCAGCAACTTAGGAGGCTGAGGTAGGAAGATTGAAAGTTCTGGGTCAGCTCGGCAACTTAGAAAGATCCTGTATCAACAACAAAAAAGGGATGGGGATGTAGCTGGTGGTAAAGCACCTCTGGGTTCAAACCTCAGTACCAAAATAAAGAAAGAAACAAATAAATGAAAAAAGGTCACAAGCAGATTACTGAACTAGATACCAGATATCTTAAAGAAAAAAGAAAAATGAGTACTTACCGTTAATGAGGTGAAGGTCATGCACATCCCACCAAAGCCATTCAAAGCCAGGGCGATAAAGATGAGGACTGAGAGAGCTGCAGGGAAACAGAGGCATAAGCAGGAAAGCACAGCTAAGGTCCAGGGAGGCCAGGGTCCAGCCCAGTGTCCCACTCAGATAGGTTTCTAATAAATGCAGGCTGGACAAAGGGTTAGTGCCTAATACCTGGGGAGCCAGAGCAGCCTCTTCCTCCCCCTGCTCCTCTTGCCTACCTCACAGAGCTTGAGCTCTTCTTACAAAAGGTAAACACTTATCCTCTTTTCTCCATTAACTTAGCAGCAAGCAAGAGGCCTAAAGGCACAGCTTCAAAGAAACCAAAAATCTAGGTTCCTGAAAACCAGTAGATAAGCCTGGTTAAAACTCTGATAAGGTGGCCCACGCCTATAATCCCAGCGGCTCAGGAGGCTGAGGAAGGAGGATTGTGAGTTCAAAGCCAGCCTCAGTGGGGTAGGGAGGGGGAGTGTGGGAGGAATAGATGACCTCTAAATAGGGCAGAGGGGTGGGAGGGGAAGGGAAGGGGTATGGGGTTAGAAATGATGGTGGAATGTGATGGACATTATTATCCAAAGTACATGTGTAAAGACATGAATTGGTGTGAGTATACTTTGTGTACAACCAGAGATATGAAAAATTGGGCTCTATATGTGTAATACGAATTGTAATGCATTCTTTTGTCATATATAAATTAAAAAAAAAAAAAGTCAGTCTCAGCAAAAAGCGAGGTACTAAGCAACTCAGTGAGACCCTGTCTCTAAATAAAATACAAAATGGGGATGTAGCTCAGTGGTGGAGTGCCCCTGAGTTCAATCCCCGGTACCCTCCCTCACCCCCCCAAAAAGAGACATAAAATTCAGGTCAGATTTTTGATACTTGTTCTAAACAGTTTTTTTAATCGATAGCTCCATCTGAATAAAGATGGGGAACAGGTGGCTTCTAAGCCACCCTTAAAGTACTGGCCTGAGCTGCCTGAGAGGACTCGGCTCATGACTTCTATACATACAGAGGACCATGTCCCTGCAGCTGGCTTGGCTCTTAGAGCTTATCTCTCAGGTTGGCATCAATGAGGCCATCAGAGACTAGCCTGTGATGAGATGGAAGCTTCACAATCAGAGAGCTCCTCTCAAATTTCCTTTTAGGATGATAACTTTCTTACCTGGCTGCCCATCTGAGATAAGGAACTGAGTAAAGCCCTAACAGGTAGCCCCTCTAACTTCAGCAGGGAGCACCAAGACCAGAAGCATCAATGCATAGGTGGGCCAGGGAGCACCTCTGGACAATCTCTCCCCAGTCCCCGAAAAAAGGGTGGAGGAAAGGCAAACTCACAGTTTGGGTTACTGGCTCCATATGCAATCAGTAAGCAGGAGACAGCAAAGCAGGCACTAAAAGCAAACAGAAAGAGTATGTTAGTTATTATTTCATTACTGATTGTTATTATTATACATTGTTATCCTTTGTGGGTATTTACCATGTGTCATTTTAGAGCACTAACAATCATCATTTAATCTGATTTAACAATTCAGAGGGCTGGGGTGTTACCCAGTAGTAGAGGATATGCTTAGCCTAAATGAGGTCCTGGGTTCAATCCCTGAGGGGGGGGGTGATTCTGAGAATAACTGGCCCAAATTTTCTTAAAAGGAAAATAAATCTCATTAAAAAAAAAAAAAAAGAAGAAGAAGGAAAGGAAAACAAATTTCTCCAAGGTGTCCCATCTTTTAAGAGGCTAAGCTAAACTTGAAGCCCCCAAACCAGATTTTATAAACACCACTGTCCTGCTCCTGCCACTCCTGGACCCCAGAGGGCCAATGCTCTGAAACAAGAGAGGATACAATTCATTCCTCAGGTTCCTGAGCCCATTCAGCCAGGGTCAGACAGACCCTGGGCAGGACACAGATGACAGATGACTGACTGGCTGTGCCAGATTACTTGTCACTTGACTCTATCCTGGCAATCGATGCCTCTTCAGCCTCAGCGAGCAAATGGAAGTGATCTCCCACCACCCACCTCATGGTTATGGGCCTTGCCCACTACAAACCAGTGCCCTATAAGGTGATCATTCACAGGGACAACTGGATTGGGGAGGACCCTGGCCTGATAGGGCCAGCTAATATGAACTTCCTGAGTCTGAGAGATGGAGCTTTATACACTAGAGATACATACCCCAGGGGGTACACAAGATGATCCACGAGGGTGCTTATCTATTGGGACTTCCATTTTGTGATTTTTAATGTCATTCATTTAAATTAATTAATAAATTGTATTTATTTTCTATTTTTTGTAGTGCTAGATCAAACCCAGTACCTTGCACATGCTAGGCAAGTATTTTATCAGTGAACCCCACTCCCAGCCCTTATAATTTTGTACATGTATTTTAAAGCATATAAAACTAAGAACAGTGTTATGTGGGCTGGGGGCTACTTCTCAGTAGTAGAAGGCTTGTTTAGCATGGATGAGATCCAGGGTGCAACCCCCAGCACTGCAAAGAACAATGAAAATAATGATACGTGTGTATATCATTTGGAACTGATGTGCTTATATTGTACATGTTCAAAATCTTTTCTTCTGAAAAACGTGTTTTCAATGACAAGCAATTCCAGATCCTCCCAGGTAGGCCAGGATCCTGTGCTTGCTCTCTGCAGTACTGGTGCACTATGAGGATCACAGTAACTAATGATTCAGTGTCAGATGAGTAGGATCCCACTGTCGCTGTGGGAAGGCACTTAGGGAACGCATAGCATACATCAGTGCATTTCACAGCAGGTTCTAGGATTCCATGGTGCACCTGACAGCACATTTCAGGATTCCCTCCAGCAGGGAATGCAGCCCAGGACGTCCACCTGCCCACCCTCTTCCCTCAAGGAACCTGCACTGACCTGCCCAGCAGCCTGAGCTTCCTTGGACCATACTTGTCCATGATGATGCCCAGGGGCAGGGTGATGGCACTGAGCAGGAAGGAGCCCACGGTGAAGGCCAAATTTAGAATCTCGTCCTGAGCCTTGCAGCTGAGCCAGCCATTCATCCAGCTCACCTCCTCGTGTTCTGGTGCTGCGGTGCTCCCCACTGTGCCATTGGTGACATTTTCTGAGTAGGCAGAGGAAAGGAACATGACAGGGAATCCCAAAGTTCAGAAGAATGGGTCATGGCAGAGACTCCCAAAGATCAGAGGGAGAGATGCATGTTCAGTCACCCCAGTGGGAATATCAGAGCTAGCTTTGGGCCCCTGGAGGATCCCAGTGACCCCTACAGCAGGCTTGGACATCCATTTGGCCCAAGATCCCTAAAGCAATAATGCAGAGGTTCTTAACTTTTGTAGGATCATAAACCATTCAAATAATTCAATAAAGAAAGCTATGCAGCCAGGTGTGGTGGTGTACACCTGTAGTCCCAGTGGCTCAGAGGGCTGAGGCAGGGGGATCTTGAGTTCAAAATCAGAATCAGCAACTTAGTGAGGCCCTAAGCAACCTAGCAAGACCCTGTCACAAAATAAAAAATAAAAAGGGCTAGGGATGTGGCTCAGTGATTAAGTTCTCTGGGTTCAATCTCTGGTACCAAAAGAGAAAGAAAGAAAGAAAACAAAATCTTGTCCACAGTTTTGGAGACACTCATGAATCCCAATTAGGAGTCCCATTCCAGAGTATCCTATACTCTATGACAGTAGATCTTGGGACCCAGCCTTGGTTGGGGCCCCCATACTGACTAGAACCTTTTCAGCAGCTTTGTTCAGCTAGCCTGGAGGCAAAGCCTAGGCCACTGTGGAAGGACAAGCTGCTGGTCTCACTATAATGCCCTGGTTCCCCTCAGTTAGTATGGAGAGACTGGGCCTCCTTGCCTTCTTTGTTGGCAAGTACAATTGGCATCTCAAACATACAACTGGCCATATGCCATCTCTTCCTCCTGGAAAAGCATAAACTACTACATATACATAAGTGTAATAGCATCTAACTCTAGAATTTTCAAGATGATCCATAAGAAAGTATATATACGCTTAGGAAAGTGCTTTTGAAGAGTCCACAGTTCTCTGCTTTCACTTGCTGAGCAACACGTCTTTCTTATCTCACTGGGGTTACTGTATTGCTGTCCCCCTTGACCTCACCCAGACTCTGTTGGGTGCTGAGCCCCCAACCTGGTGTGTCAGCCACACCTGTGTTGTAACTTCAGCCCTTAAGGACCCCCTCCAAAGTCCACCCAGCACCCAAACAACACAAAAAGGGAGGAAAAGGTGCCGTGGCAGCTGAGGATGGAAAGACAAGGGCCAAGCTGAGAATGCAGCTGAGGAAGTCCTTGCCAGGACTGCTAGTCAAGAGATGCTGACTACTGTGCAGGAGCAGGGGCAGACTGATTAGCTGTGAGGTTACGCTGGAGAGTCAAGGAAAATCTCGCTCAGATAACGGCCTGCCTCCCAATTGCAGCCCTCTGGCGCCAGGGCTATAAAGCTGAGGTCTGCAAAGGCTTGCCCAGGCCTCTTGGAGCTGCCCCAAGGTCACTGAAAAGAAAGCACTTGGGGTGATTCATGCCCCAGACAACCTCTGACCAATAAGCCCTGCTGGGGGCATGTTGAGATGGCAGTCCTGGAACCTGGCTTCAGGGTTCCAATTTTGGTCCCTTTACTTCCTACTCTATAACCTTAGAGAAGTGATTTAATTTTGCTCTGTGTCTCAGATTCCTTGACTGTAAAATGGCCATAATATAATAATAGCATCTACCTCTAGAGTTTTCAGGAAGATCAATGAGAAAGTCCAGACAGCGCTCTAGAGCTCACACAGGCATAGAGAGTGTTCGTAACAACCAAAAGCTGGGTGCACGCCTATAATCCCAGGGGCTGGGGATTCTGAGGCAGCAGGATCACGAGTTCAAAGCCAGCCTCAGCAATTTAGCGAGGCCCTAAGCAACTCAGCGAGACTCTATCTCTAAATAAAATATGAAAAAGGACTGGGGATGTGACTCAGTGGTTAAGTACCCCTGGGATCCATCCCCAGTACCAAACAAAAACCCCCCAAATGTTGTTTTTATTCTTACTGGAGGCTGGGGGGGGGCGTTAGGGATAATGGTGCAACTAACTGCCTAGCAGCAGAGCTGGTCACAGTGACAGGAAACCACAATTCTATAACTGCACATGGGGTGGCTTGAATAGGTGTCTAATCTCCCACTGGGCTGCGAGCCCTGAGGGCAGGACTGTGCTCCGGTTAGGTTACCCCTGGTCCCCGGGTAGGTTACCCCTGGTCCCCGCACCTCACTAGGCTCTCACCACAGAGGTTGTTTACTGAATGAATGAAAACAATGGAACTGGATGACAACACTCAAAAGAATCAAGAGAGGAAAGGAAATAGGACTTGCAGAACCAAATCAAAGATAGAGGGGATTTAGTGAGATTACAGGCACAAAGTTAACTCCCTGAAACCACAGAAACAAAACCTAACAAGCCAGAGCCCTGCCCCTGCCACTTTCTCTCAGTTTTCTACTGAGTACACCATCCCAGCAGCCAAAATTCATGGTGAGGTCCCCTGAGCCTGTTAGGATGCAGAATAGTTTTAAGCCACTGGATCACACTGCGGAGCAGCTCCTGGAAGGCTGAGTTGCCACACAGGTGGGTGCTGGTTTCAGGTGTCAGCTCTGCGAGCAGCAACAGGAACTGGTCCTCGGTGGAGGGACAGGGCCACCACATGCAACAACCATTTCCAGCTCAATGTGCGGGTATGAGCAAATCAGCATGGATGGGACAGAGTAGTCAGTAGCAAGCATGCCCCAGGGCCTGGATTGCCAGTCTGTGAGACCTGGTCATGGCCATGCATGGTCAGGGGCCAGTTACTGCACTTGGGGATATGGGAAATTTCAGGGCCTGAGGTCCACAGGATCTGCAGTTACAGGAAGCCATGGGGGAACAAGGAACAGAGGGGCAAGGCATCACTGCCCACAAGGAGAGAACTAGCCCCCAACCCCCCAGTACCCTCAGAGAGGAGCCACAGCTGGATCCCTAAATCCATGACTTCCCTCAGCAAGAGACAAGAGATGGGACGGGTGTGGTGGTGCACACCTGTAATCCCAGCAGCTCAGAGATTGAGGCAGGAGGATCACAAGTTCAAAGCCAGCTTCAGGAATTTAGCAAGTCCCAAAGCAACTTAGTGAGACCCTGTCTCAAGATTAAAAAAAAAAAAAAGGGAGGGAGAAAGATAAGAGATGGAAGATAAAATCCCAAGGCACTGGATAGGGGTATCTCTCTGTAGTGGAATTGCTCACCCAGCATGAGTGAGACCATGGGCTCAACCCCTTAGATTCAATCCCCAACAAACAAAAAGTCCCAAGGCAGTCTCCCTGACATGTTAGGTGTGGGCATAGGAGTAGAAGCATCCTAAATTGTTTAGAGATCTGAATAACCCAGTAGCTAGACAGGGGGCCCCCCAAGGAGAGGAGCTAGGGAGGAGGTGAGGGTATGTCCTTCCCTCTTTCATCCTGGAGCATCACAGAATAGGGACCTGCATTTTGGTCCACCAGCCTTCTTTTCTTAAACAAATCCCTGCCAATGGGCCACCTGGCCTCCACCCCCCTGCCTCAGGCAGTAAAAAGCCCAATGCCAGATGAGCCTGGCAGTTGGGGGACTCAGTGGCCTCACTTGCCTGCCCAGGGAGCAAAGCAAGAGTATTCTTGTTCCTGGGGGGAATTAAACCTTCTGTGAGTCCAGGAGCTTTGTTGGCAGTAAACAGCCCACATGAATAATCTCAGCCCCGACAGATGCCCGAAACACCATCACACGCAGGCTATCAGGAGAGAGATAAACAGATCAGCACCCAGGAAGTGCCAAGTCCCAGGGTGCCGCCCTGGTCCCAGCCTAGATCTCAGCCCCCACCCAGCCCAGCCTACGGGGTGCCTCACCTGCACCTGTTTATTAAACAGATGCCTCCTCAGTGGGTGGCCAGAGTGGCCTAGCCCAGCTGAGGAAGGTGAACCAAGGAGACAGGCAAACAGTTGGTGTGGCAGAATGTGCCGATGACAACAGGATGAAGGCTACTTAGGAGACCCAGGGCCAAGAAAGAGAGAACAATGCCCCGCACTGTTGAGCCCAATTCAGAAGACACACAAACAAAATCTTCAAAGAAAAAGCTGGGGAGGAAAGAGGGAGCTATGACCCTACTCAGGCTCCCCTAAGTCTCCCTGGGTCAACGTGGCTCCTTTCCCTTTTGCCCCAGTGAAAGAAAGAAAGTGGCAAGCCTCCAGAGCAGCTCCTCAGATGATGCTCGAGGGAGCCAAGGAGCTCGAGGCTGGTGGCCCTCTGCCCTCCTGGGGTCAGCCTCTTCCCTGGCTGGCTGCTTTCTTCTTCTTCTTTTTTTTTTTTTTTTTTTTGGTACCAGGGATTGAACTCAGGGGCACTCAACCACTGAGCCACATCCCCAACTCTGTTTTATATTTTATTTAGAGACAGGGTCTCACTGAGTTGCTTAGCGCCTCAGTGTTGCTGAGGCTGGCTTTGAACTCGCGATCCTCCTGTCTCAGCCTCTGGAGCGGCTGGGATCACAGGCACGCGCCACCATGCCCGGCTGACTGGCTGCTTTCTGAGCCCCCCCTCCAGTGTGGGATGCCTGGGCAGCCCTGTTTTGACGGTACCTGCCCTGGGATCTCCTGTCTCCAATCCTTAGTCTATCCGGCAACAGGAAGCATCATCTCAGTCCAGCAGGAGAGATGTGGGTAAGAGGTCAGCTCAGTCACAGAGCAAACAAGAAGCAGGACGTTCACTCAGAGGGCCGAACCCCCTTGGTACAGCCATGGCAGTAGCAGCCTCCTTCTGCAGAGTGCCTGTGTGTGCTGGCCACAGAGTTCAGGGGTATTCAACCCCTGGGTCATTTAGCGCCCTCCCACTCTGACCCCATATTCCTTCCACATGACTCTATGGGTAATTTCAGCACAGGTCAGTCATTGGCAGAGGGTCCTGGGAGAGGCTGGACTTGAATGCAGGCTGTCAGAACCCAAAGCTCTTGCTCTTAACTTTTGGGCTATGCTGATGCTGTCCTCTTGGGTTAGAGGCAGCCTGTATCTCAGGAGAAAATGCTGAAAGAATAGAACTGGGAAAAACCTGTCACACAGTGTCGGGCAATACCAGGTGTCCCTCCATGTTGTCTAGTAAGACCTAGTGGTGTACACGAATGATCCCAGCTCCCTGGGAGGCTGGCTGAGGCAAGGAGTTCGAGGGTTCAAGGTGAGTCTACATAACTATTCAAAATAGAAAAGTAGCTCAGTGGCAGAGTACCTGCCTAGCATGCATGAGATCCTGGGTTCAACAATCCACACACATACATTACACACACACACACACACACACACACACACACACATATATACACAGCCCAAATCTCCTAGGAGGTCACTGAAAGCCACCCCCAGACTGTTAAACTTTCATGAACTACCAAGAAGCCAGAGGAGGCCAACAGATACAGGGGAGAGAAATCAGATCATGAAATGAGGAGGAGGAAGGTTGGGCTGCTGCTAGCCAAGGGTCCTAGCTCTTCTTTGTGACACACTCTGAGGCTGTGTGCACCAGTCTCTAACCCCTCTTACTGGTTCTAATGGGATTGTCTTAAAAATTCAAAATAAACCAGGAATGGGCTGGAGGTAGAGCCCAGGTAGAACCCTTGCCGGCAGGTGTGAGGCCCTGGATTCCATACCCAGCACTGTAAAAAAACAACAAAAAAAGTTAAAAAAAAAAGTAAAAACAGTCGCACATACAATGATAAAAGTGAAAGGTTAGCTGGGAGTGGTGGCACATGCCTGGAATCCCAGTTACGCAGGAGGCTGAAGCAGGAGGATTATAAATTGGAGGCCAGACTGGGCAACGTAGTAAGATATTGCCTCAAAAAATAAAACGTAAAAAGAGTTGGGGATGTAGCTCCATGGTAGAATGCCCCAAGTTCAATCCCAGTAACATACACAAACACACAAACTACACACGTGTGCAAGTGCAAAATGTTAGACTATTGAAAGATGTCAACCACTGGGCTGTGAATATGTAAGAAGCTCATAAAAACAGAAGGCCCTGAAGCAGCAGGGGACTCTCCTGTCCACATCTGTACCCCCACTTGGCCGGGTGGGGACCAGGGCTGGCTCTGCTTCCCTGAGGGACAGAAGTCTTTCTGCCCTTTTCCCTACCACCACAGGCACAGCAGCCATATAGTCAAGAGCTCAGAACCTGGGTCTGCCTTCAGGTTTATGGCTGGGTGGTTCCTTCCTCTAGCAGAGGCCACGAAGATTTTCACTTCACAGCCCTCATTCCACCCAACACCCAGCACCCAGCACCCAGCACACCCTCCACAATTTCTAAAAGCTCCAACGAGTCCCCCCTCCTCCACCTCTATGGCTTCTTCCTTGAGAATAAAACCAAGTCTCCCAAGTGACCTCCCAGATCCTACAAACTCTGATGTCTCCCCATGTCACTAGTCTTCTGCTGTCCCAGCCTCTCTTCTCCTTTCCTCCAAGATGTGGTCGGGTGTGGGTGGCTACAGTGTCCATCTAGAGGCTAAAAGGACACAACATTGGGAAAGTCCCACTCTTCCCAGGATGGGAAACTAACTGGTCTTCTGTCCACATCAGGGGTTTTAAGGTGGTATCCAGCTGCCAACATCTGCCTGGTGGATATTACACCAAGTTCATCCAATTCCCAGCCCCATCCCTGTCACTTCTGATTGTCTGGTGGGCAAGGCAAAACAAGTTGAGGGACAAAAGAGAATTCCTTCTCCCACCTCACCAAGCTGGAACCCAACACCGTGTCCATAGCCAGATTCTGGCTGCAGTCCCAAATAAAGGTTCCGGGAACCTTTTAACAGGTTCAGGCAAATTTTTCTTTAGAGAACAAACTCCAACGTCAATCCTGAAAGCAACAAAAAAAGCTGAGAAATTTGCATCTCAATGAGCTATACACTGGTCAACTCTTCAAGTCTAATTCAATAAATTCAGTAAATGGCCTTCTCTACAATGCAGCCATCCACCAAGTTTGAAAATGTTAGGCCTGAGTGGAAACCTTGACCTTAACTTTGCCAGGCACTCCCAGTAAAGGGAAGCACAAGGGTTTCTGACTCTGAAAGGTTACAGGGATTCCAAGATGCAAGGAGCAGGGAGGCCAGGGAGATAAGTTGTGAGGAATCAGCAGGCTTCCCCCAAGAGGATGCTAGGTCAGCGGGTTTGCCAGATAATCAGAAAAACCAAAATCAGATGCAGGAGCAAAGAAACAGGATAAGAAGTTGATGTTCAACCCACAATCCTGACCCTTCACCTTCACTTTGGTGTGTAGGAATAACCTGTCGTCAAGTCTCTCAAGGACTTAAATACCAACTCAGCACTGTGTTGGCACAATCTCTGGGACTCCTCCCACTGAAAGGAAAGAAGCCAAGGTTGCAGGAGGAATGAAGTGACCAGCCCCATGCTGCCAATACCATAAAATAAATCAGTGAACAATCTGTGAAAAAAAAAAAAAAAAACTAGAATCTGACCTTTCTCACACCACAGTGGGGTAAAAAATCTGACTGCAACAGTCTCTGGTCTGGATGAGTTACTAACAGCTTTGTCAAGGGATGATGATTTTCTTGTGTGTTTAAAACCCTCTCTGTACCCTCAAAGAGAGGAAGAGGCAAACAGTCCAACCTGTTCCTTTCAGAAGAGTCATTAATCTCCTAACATCTCTAGGGCAAAACAGAAAGCTTGTTCAGAGAACAAGGTCTGACTCTCCCATCTCCCAAGATTTCTTGCTGATGTGGGGAAAGGCCTGCCAAGAACCCTTAGGCTATTAGGAAATATTTCTGAGTGGCTAAAGGCTAAAGGTTGGTTATAAATGATATACTTTCTGTCCTCTACTAGGCAGCCTCTGCATTCCCTCCCTTTCTCCTGCCCTTAACTTCTGCTAATTCTCCATAGACACTCAGACACTCAGGAATATTCTGGACAGATCAGAGAAGGGAAAGAGGGGAGGATCTGACACAGGGTTACAGGCAGTGCAGGCTGGTCCAAATCTTTCTCTTCCTGCTAAGAACTCTGAAAACAAAAGAAGCACTAGTGGCAATGCTGGGGGCACAAATCTAGGATATCTCCATCAGAAGGAGCTCAAGCACTGGAGAGAGACATTATGTGAGTTCAACTATTATGCAGCCTCTGTTGGGATCAGGAGAAGGTAGAGGGAAGCGTTTCCTAACACAGTTGCCTAAGAAGGAAGGTAGAAATTGGGAGCTTCTTTGGCTGAACCTATTGACCTGTAAGCAATTAAGGTGGGAAGGTATGACCTTAGGGGAAGGGGCAGAGGACAGACTTCATGTACAGCAAGCATCCTCAGCCTGCCTTCTGCAACACCAATGGTGGAGCAAAGAGAAGGGAGCAAACCTAGCATCATTTCTATAAATGTCCCCCTTCCTCTTCCTCCCCATGGGGTTGGAAGGCCACTGAGATGTTCTCATTGCCCGTGGGAGGAAGTGGCCTTTGGAGAATCATAAAGCAGCAAAAATAGACAAGAAATTGTATCCGGCAAGCCCTTAGAAGACTCCATAATGGCCTGACTGAAAAAAAAAAATCTAGATTCTAGATGAAACCTCCTTGGGGTGGAGGCAAAGCCACTTCCTCTCTCTCTCTCGCTGCACCCCAGCCCCTAAATCAGGAGTTCCTCTTTCTCTTAACCACGGAGCAACATGTTTATTGCAAGGCCAGCAATGTTCCAGGCACAGAGAGGACATAAGTCCAGTTCCTAGCTAGTAGAAAAAATTCCTGGATGTGACAGATTTGGGTCTATGGTAGTCTCCGGCATGGGCAAATAACAAGATTGGTCTGAGCCTCAGTTTATTCATCCATGAAACGGGAAAATAATAACACGTACCCAGCAGAGCTAGGTTAGGATCAAATAGGCCTTTGGAAACCCGGGACGCTCTGCGCAGCGAGAGGAGCATTGCTGGCCAGGTCTTCACTACAATCCGCCCTCTCCCAAAGACCCCACTCCAGGAACCATACCCAGCCCAAGGCGTCCATCTCACCTGGTTCAGTACATAGGTAGGAGTAGAAGCCCTCCGACTTCAGCATGATGAGCAGAGAGCCCCAGCCCAGGAGGACTGCCGAGAAGAGGAGGTTTTCCAACACCGCGGTGCAGGCCATCCACCAGCGGCGCCGATGGGCAGTGGCCAGGGTGGGTGCCATGGTGCGGCGCGGCGCGGCAGCC